ACCTCGAGAAGGAAGGCCCATGGGCCCTTGTCCTTTTGGGCTTTTTCTAATCTCATTGAACTCTACTTATCGGCAAAATATCGGCTTAAAAGCTTTGAATCACTTCGAACGGTTCCCTCGTAAGTGAATACCATTGTTTTTATACGATTAATACTATTCAACATTCAATGATAATCATATTAGATAAATATATTTCTAACCGAATATAAGAATAATTAGAATTACCATTAAATACTATAGTAGAAAGATTTATCTCAACTAATTACATTGATACAGTAAATACCTACTATAATAGGATTAAATCGTATAAAAACTTAATTTATCATACTTAGTTTACGTCTATTCCTGTTTAAAACTACGCACTTCATCATATTTCAAACAAGAATTTGAATTAGATGCAGTTGCACTTTCTCGTCTGATTAAATCTGAAGAAATAAGTTATAGACTTTTTTAGAAAAAAAATCAAAATATTTTATTTCTAAACAATAAATATAATATATACTTACAAGTGTGAGTAATGGTGCTGTGATGCACCATGTAACAAAAAGATAGTATTGGGCTGCTCGTCTGCCTAACATCATTTTAACATCGTTCATAAATTTATTGAATCCTAAAATAATTTTCATACTTCCGAACAACTCAAAATTCTCTTATTAAAACAGACCATAAATGTAGGCAACAGAAATTACTTCAAAAAAACCGATAAACACCAATGATATATTGGCTGTATATTCTTGAAAAAGTTCGAATAGATAGATACCACCCTGAAAACAAAGAATTTAGTTAGTTTTTTATATTATTGATCGTAAACAATACTCACTGGACAAGCAAATGGTAAACTGAAAAGATAGAATAGTGTACAAGTTATAATGACGAGAAAAGTTCGTCGTTTTGCATATGATGGAAAAAATTCCATGAGAGCAGTAATTGGCACATCAGTAGAAGCAAACTAAAAGGAAAAAAAAACAATCTAAGTGATAAATATTTATTCATGATTTACTCACCTGTGAACCCAATCCGAGAGCGAGAAGCATCAAAAAGAATATTACAGAAAAGAATGGACTCGCTGGCATTTTTGCAAGTGCTTGAGGATAAGTAATAAATGCTAGACTAGGACCTGATGATCTAGCATATGTTTCGACATCTTCACCCAATGATGTAGCAAGAAATCCAACAGTAGCAAATACAGCGAAACCAGCAAAAACACCGGTAAAACAATCACACAATACCACAATACACATTTGTCTATTGTTTTATCAGAATTTAACTTGACAAATAAAATAAATAAATAATGTCTACTTATACTTACTGAAAAAACTTATTATGAAAGTCGTTAGCTGCTGAATAAGCAATAAGTGAACCAAAACTGATACTCAAAGAGAAGAAAACTTGTGAAGCTGCTGCTTGCCATATCTAAAATAAAATAATTTTATCTAATTTATCTTACAAAAAAAAGGCTCGATTTATTTTTTATTTTCATTGACATTCGTC